TGTGAGGGTGAAAGGAAGTGGAAGGGAGGGTCTCTATCTATCTGTCTCGTCTTCTGTCTTTCTTGAGTGCTTTCTCGCATTTTCTGGCTGTCCCGCATTTGCGGTTTTAGGGCTTGTTTCAAAGACTATAAGACTTTTGAGGGTTCGGATTCCCCGTCTATGATGCCTGAAACTGTGAAATGTGAGATCATTCATTGTGGGTTTTTGATTTTCGAGATGGGTTTTTGAAGATGCGGAGAATTGGAGTTGCGTTAGTGTAGATGCAAATGATGTTGTAAATTTCCGAGTGATTATTGTCCAAGGATGGATAGGATGCTTCAGCCTCCCCTGGTAAAATCTGGACTCTCTTTGTGTTCTTTCCAATTACTTTTCATTATCTTGGTAGGAGTAGCTTATAGGAGAACGAAGTTGTCTTGCTTTCATTTGTGGAATTTTTTGTCCTCTGATTTCTTTAAAAAATATTTCGCGATGCATATATGATAGGATGATTGCTAATTATTGGAATAAGATGCATAATAAAAAAATAATTCCATTACCAATTGATATGGTACTTGGAAAATTCGGGTGCCTCACATCTCTAGTAATTACCTCCAAAACTAGAGCTCCATTAGTTTGTTTTCCCATTTTAAGTTGCCAAGTCTGTACATGTATCCTTTCTCTATTTCCTTCCTATTTTGTGATTTCGGATGCATTATTTAGGATTTTGTCACCACCTAATCTAAATGAGGTTTCGCCGTGAGCAAACTATGTTGTCATGATGTGGGTGTATTTAAGACTCAATAGAAATTGAGAACGGAAGAGTTTCACTACTATAAATTAGCTCCCTTCAACACCCTCCCCCCCCCCCCCCAAAAAAAAAAAAAACGCCACCAAGGGGGGGCGCCCTGTTTGGGTAGTGTCCTAATGGGTAGAGGAAGTATCTGGCAGTATTCTTGTGCCACGAGTTTTAGTTTATTGTACATGTTAGATTACTCATATTTTTCTTGTAGCATACTTGGTCAAACACTTTGACTTCATGCCAAACATCTCAATTTTAGAAGTTAGACATGATAATGCATTGAAGGGTAGCTAAATCTGAATTAAACTTAAATGTCATCTTTCACCAAGTGGTGGATAATTGTTCAAACAAGCATGTTCTGATCACATATTAACTGGTTAGAAGATATTTGGACCAGAATGTTCTGCGAAGCTACAATATTGCAGTGTATATTAAGCACAAATGAAAACATACATTTAGAGTCAGGTGTCTCAATCTTATTGAGATTTTCTGACTAGTTTGAGTGATTATTTTTAGTTGTTATATTTGGTAAAGGTTTACTAAAGTGCCTGTTTGTGTACTTCATGAATTACAACTGAATATCTATAACGTCCAAGTCATTGACATGGAGAGAAATGTTGAACAATCGAATTCTTCTTGATAATTGTACATTTGCAGGTTGATACAACAGCGTGTCTTTGTCGAGTTGATGCGGGCCTCAAAACTGTTGCAGGAGCTAAAAAGTATGTTCCTGGAACAAAGCTCTGTCTTCAACCTGACATCAAACCTTCCATTCACCCTACTAGACAGAAACCACCACGAGACAAAAATCGTAGCCAATCCCCGTTATTGCCAGGACTTCCAGATGATCTTGCCATTGCATGCTTAATTCGGGTCCCAAGAATTGAACATCGCAAACTCCGATTAGTCTGCAAGAGATGGTATCGTCTTCTGGCTGGTAACTTCTTCTATTCTCTTCGGAAAAATCTAGGGATTGCAGAAGAATGGATATACATTATGAAGAGAGATCGAGATGGTAAAATATCATGGCATGCTTTTGATCCTATGTATCAGCTGTGGCAACCTCTTCCACCTGTTCCTAAAGAATATTCAGAAGCCCTTGGGTTTGGATGTGCTGTACTCAGTGGCTGTCACCTGTACCTATTTGGTGGTAAAGACCCGGTGAAGGGATCAATGAGAAGAGTCATCTTTTATAGTGCAAGAACAAATAAATGGCACCGGGCACCAGATATGCTTCAAAGGCGGCATTTCTTTGGCTCTTGTGTTATAAATAACTGTTTATATGTAGCTGGTGGAGAAAATGACGGGATTCATCGGTCACTTAGATCAGCTGAAGTTTATGATCCCAACAAGAACAGATGGTCCATTATTTGTGAGATGAGTACAGCAATGGTGCCCTTCATTGGTGTTGTTTATGAGGGCAAGTGGTTCTTGAAGGGGCTAGGATCTCATCGACAGGTTCTTAGTGAGCTCTACCAACCCGAAACTGACAGGTGGTACCCTGTGTATGATGGAATGGTAGCAGGCTGGAGGAACCCTAGCACTTCAATGAATGGGCATCTGTATGCATTGGAGTGTAAGGATGGCTGCAAACTTAGGGTATATGATGAAGCAACTGATTCTTGGAGCAAGCACATAGATAGTAAGATGCATTTGGGTAATTCCAAAGCTTTGGAGGCAGCTGCACTCCTCCCTCTGAATGGAAAGTTGTGCATCATCCGGAACAACATGAGTATTTCTGTGGTTGATGTTTCCAAATCTGATGACAGTAGGAGTGGAGCCCCAGCGGAACATTTATGGGAAACTATTTCGGGAAAAGGGCAGTTGAAGACTTTGGTTACAAATTTCTTGTCAGGCCTTGCAGGTAGGAATCGTGTTAAACATCATATAGTTCATTGCCAGGTTCTTCAGGCTTGAAGATTGTAACTACACTTGGAAAATAGAAATGGTTCAAAATATTTATATCCTTATTTGCTTCCCCAATTTGATATGCTCTTAACTATATGGCTTTTGACAAGCAAGGTTTGTCCTCGTAGATGTATGATTAATTTAGTTCTGTCCTCTCTAGACTCTGGGTAGATAACAATGGTGGTTTTACTTGTTAGACTGAAGAAGCAGAGCAAAGGTTTTGTGATACATGGTTGTTCTACGTATGGATGCGGCATCTCAAACTGGTTAAAGTCTTCATTCTGTTGTACATATTGCAATTCCATTAGTTAGCATCGGTGCCGTGGCCTCTTGGCCTGTCATGATTTCCCGGCTTATATGGTGCTTGGCTTTTGAGCCAAATTGGATGTTTAATGCGTCTGATTCAAATGGGATGTTTAATGTGAGCCTAGTTGAATATTAATTAAACTATTAGATGTTAATCTCTCATTTTTGCTTCTCTAAGCTACAAAATGTTGTGGCAGGAAAAGTTCTTGGAAATTTTCTGGGTAGAATGGTTAAATATATGCCGCTTTCTTCTTCAGCAAATACCTGATCATATTAATTGTGGTATTAAAATACGTAAAGGCAAATAGATAATTTGGATATCCTTCTTTATACTCGTTTCATGAATAAGAATTGGATTTTTTTTTTCAATTGAGCCTGCTTAATATCAAGCATGTTTAGCTCAATGATCAGGGAAGGGTTCTTACAGTTATTTCTTGGGTTTAGGGTTCAAATTCTATGCTTAGCAATTGGACGTGAAAAGGATGTGGAAATGGGTGGAAGGGTTTAAAAAATAAAAATGCCAAGGAAGCATGCTTAAGTATAGCATCGCATCCTACAGAACAACAGTGTTACTACACACTGTTTGTTTTTTTGTCATTCGTCATTTATCTATTCTATTTCTATTCTAGTCTAATTTAGAGGAGAGTCAATTGAACCTATAACGGAGTCGATGGATTGAACTACCATCGAATTACAAACTTCTTTGATTGTGCAGATGGATTGAACTACCATCGAATTACAAACTTCTTTGATTGTGCAAATCCTTTTCTAGGAGGGAATCGATTTTCCAGAAAAAAAAAAACGTAAACCAACACAATAATGAATCCTTAACGATGGTCTCTCCAACTCTGACGTCTCCTAATCCATCTCCGATTTACGTTAGGATCCTTGTACGTATAGGAAGGAGTAAATTCTCTCTTCTATTCCAGTACATAAACCCATGTATCTCCTCTAGTTTCAACCTATACATACAACCTCCAGCCGTTGCTAATACTCGTGCATTATTCCAATTCGATCCAAGATGTCGTACGATTATCTCTTCAAATACATTGTAATAGGAGATGCCGGAGTTGGTAAATCGTGCCTTCTTAAGCAGTTCACCAGCAAACGATTTGAACAGGGGCACGATCCGACCATGGGTGCTGAGTTTGGAACTAGAATCATCAGAGCGGACAAGAAGAAAACAAAACTTCACGTGTGGGGCACGGCAGGCCAGGAGAAGTTCAGGTCAATAACGCAGAGTTTCTACAGAGGTGCTGCTGGGGCAGTCCTAGTTTATGATGTCACGAGCAGGGAAAGTTTTGCTCATCTTGCTTCTTGGTTGAAGGACCTCAAGGAACTTGCTAACAAAAACATGACCATAATGCTGATAGGCAACAAGTCTGACTTGGATGGCAGTAGGGCCGTCAGCACCGAAGAAGGCTCAGAATTTGCCCAGAAGCATGGTTTAATATTCATCGAGTGCTCAGCAAGGACTGCTCAAAATGTTGAAGAAGCGTTCGTAAGCACAGCCATAGCGATACATAAGACCGTCCAAGGTGGAGATTCTGAGGGGTTAGAAGATCGAGGCATAAGAGTTCGACATAGAAGCATATCAGGACTAGGAGACTGGGCGGCTTCTCAAAGAGGATCTTGTTGTAATTAAAAATAAAAACCCGTTTTTCTTACGGTAGCTACATACATGCTGGCATTCTAGGGTAATTTTTATTCTTCCATCACGATTTAAGAGTGTTGATTCTATCTCCTTGAAATGGGGAAAAAAGATTTCTAGATATGCTGATTACGCATGTGACAGAATCCTCGGGGCATTATTGTGCAATTAAGATTGTCGTCTCCCAGCCAGATGCCACTAAGTGCTACGTTCAAAATCACGAGCTTTCAAACGGAGTGACAAACAGATTTTACCTCAACCCACGATGCAAACAAAAATAGGAATGAAATTTCAAAACGCAGAAAGTCTCGACAACACGCGCCCCCGAAAGGCTAGTACTAATCAATAACAAATATGACGCATGAAAAAGAAATACTACAAAATTTTATTACGAATATCTGGAAAAACACAATTGGTTTTCCAGTCTACAAGAAATATTTAAAGTCCTAACTGACAAACAACAACAACAACAAAGAGAGATCTACTGCTTTACTATGACTTTCACAACATACAAAAGAATCACAGCATACCTAGAATTGTAAAACCAATGGTTCACCGTGTGTGAGATCTTGACAAGTATGCTTTTGCCAATGAGAAACAGGTTTCTTTCTGCCTTCTGAACTCGCCATACCGCAAGAAAAAATAACCAAGATAGTCGAAATCAATTGGAGACATTTTTGCCTGTGAAAAGTGTGATACTCAATAGTTAAACAAAATTTCTTCAACTCTGACTGTTCCCTACATTCGCTATATTTATTCCAGCAGTCAAGGGGATGCTGAAAACACCGCTCACTAATGAAGGCAAAGAAATATTACCTGGATTAAAGCCCATAACGCCCAATACAAGTGTGATGCTAACATGTACATATTTGTCTCGATATAAAGAGCTTCCAAATCTTTGTCAGATACCTGATGTCAAAGGCAACTCAGTTGACTAATTTCATGTTCAGCAAATTGCATAAAAAGTTCGTGAGACACATTTCGAGTTTCTTATATGCTAAAGATGTTAACCATCAATGAAGCTAGAAATAAAATTGTCAGAGCACCTACGTATTCACATCAGAAACACATTACTGTCCCAAATGCTTATGACGACAAGTTGCTTATTGTAACTAAAACATTCGTCCATCTTCCTATATGAATCCCGGACATGTGATTTTTCAAATTGACAATAATGCTTTTACTTGATGAAATAATTGTATATCTCAAATCATTCTGCAATCTGGTTTGGTTAATGTGGATGAAAGAACAGAATGGGATAAAGGTAACAACATAGAATGATCTTGAACCACATATGTACAAACTACTTTACCATACTTTAGTAACCAAAGCTGAATTGTACAGATTACATACAAAAAATCGAACTAGTGTTACAAAGGATGATATTTGAAAGCAGCGTAGTAACAAAGCCTAAAGTAACAGAAACTGAATTAAGTAGCAGCAAAGACCAGGTCCATAACCAACAGCAAGTCAGTCATCAATACTTCTGCTAGAGTAAAGCCAAGAAGAAGAAGGAGAAATACAATCATCTCCCTGCAATTGGCATTTGACAGCCATCACAGTTAACTTCCTAAAATACATAGCAGAAATCCACTTTAGTATTTCAGGTGGGAAGAAACAAAAAAAAATCCAATTCACCAATATATACAACCATCAAGCCATGAGATCTGCTCACATCTTACGAGTTGGAGACAGCCTATCTAGGTTAAGTTTTTAGAACACACAACTTTGTATAGCCTGAAAAAGAAAATTGTTAATGGCAAGTACAATGAGTTTACAGTAAACACATACCTCCTCTGGTCTTTCAGGGTCTAAATAGTGTCTGAAGAAATGATGTTGTTCATCCTTGTTTGGGCACCTACATGCAGATAAATTTTCCATATCACCTCAAGTTTTTTATAGCATCAAATGAGTGGAAGAGAAGATTGAAATGACATACAAGCTGTAGTCACAATCATAGCCAGCATATTCGTTAAAGTGATTCCCAATGTCAAAACCTCTGTAACTATATGATCCATACTCAAAATCAATGATGTAGAGTCTTTCTGCACATTCATCAAAAGACAGTCATTGGTCAAATTGAAATAGTGGTATCAACTACTAATTCAGAATGAATGTTGAGAATAGGTTAATCTCCAGACTTCCCATGAAGAACCATTTACGCATCACCCCTTAAGAAAAAGACGACTATTTTCGACCAAAATCCTTATTCGACATGTTCCCATTCACTACTAGACAGTGGCCAATCAAGCAAAGCCAAATGAGCTAGAGAACTGATATTTCCTAGTCAAGTTTAATATCATACATGATTCAGAGGCCTGTGCTTCATAATGAATTTTATAAGTTAGCTGGAAAAACTCAAGCCTACAGTATCTCAACTTGCAGGACTGAACCCATAACTAATATATTGCATTTTAGGCAAAAGGATAGATGCAATGATGCGGTGCAACTTGTCCAGGTTTCTAGAAAACAACAAATAAATGGAAACAAAGGAAATGGGAGTTAATTTGTGGGTGTGCACATTTATGCATACATAGAGCACCCCCAACAGGAAAACATTAGGAAGGGGTGCGAAGTCTCAACAGAAAAACCATTAGGTTTGGGCATAAATACCTTCATCATCATTAAGCATCAAATTTCCTGAAAGCAAGTCATTATGAGCATAGACTACTGGGGCATCAAGACATCCAGTCAATTCCTGTTCCACAAAGATATATTTACCACATCATGTGAAACTGAACCTATGGAGAGAAGACTACTGTATCGATTTAAACAGGGTAACATGCTCCCACACTGAAGCTTGACTCCAAGACATAGCCACAACACACGGACACTTTTATGATGAATGACAGAAAGAACTAAATTCAATCTGTCATAGAGCCGAGTAAATTATCTATTTTAGAAAATTTATACAAAACTGCTGGTTTAGAATTGATACAAAGGAAAATAAACAGTGTAAAACAGAAATTGTTTCAAGCAAAAATTAATAGCTTATCATGCCACAGATAACTTCATGACTCCGGGAAAGGGAAGAATCATTCTCCATTGATATATCTACAGAGAAACATTTCCAAAAGAATACTCAAATAAAAAAAAAAAGGGAAAAACATTTGAAGAAGGAAATTTAAAAATCATCAGAAACTCATAAATGTGTATTCAAAAGCCAAACCATGCTTTGACTTCAGCATGAAATCCTATTTTGACAACTTTTTAGGTGGCTGCGTCTGTTCAGATAGTAGATTATTTGGAAATTTTCTTAAATAACACTGTAACACTTTTTGTGATATATGAGATAAAAATGCGGTTGGAAAGATAAAAGGTGATTGGAAACGTATCTATGATGCAATCAAAAATTTTTTGCAAATAATAACCAATCCAAACAAACACTTTTCAACAATTTAATGACAATATGCCATCAACTTGATAAAACGGACTGCATTACTAGAGAGATATTCCTCAAAGATTGCTATAATCAAACATCAGAATCTCAAACCCAACTTAACAAAAAAACCAATATATTTTCATTCTTCCTTTGCATATGCAATGTTCACTACCACTCAATCATAGCCAATAGTCTTCGCAAAACGCATACACCAAAATTTATGGACAAGAAGATATTATACAGAAAGATATGTCATGATAAGTCACCCAGTTCCATAAGAGGAAGAAAGAGAAACATATTGGATTACAGATGATACAAGAAGTCAGAGGAGATAATACCTTGAGCTCAATGATTTCACTAATTATTTCTTTAAATGAAATTGTTTCATACTTCTTCTGCTCCTCAAAATCATCAAAGTTGAGGTTTGACGCTGCATTCAACAATAAAAGCAACTCAGACATGACCAAAAACAAGGGAAGACAGACATAATGCTTTTAAATGAGCAAAAACCTTCAGGAAGTAGAATATGGATATAGATGTATAGCATCCCATGTATAGACCTTTTCCATAGAATTTGAAGATGTCATTCCACAGTTGAGGTTCTTTAGAACCTGGTATATCCACCTGATGAAACTTACGAAGTTGTTTAGCAATTTCAGCTGCTAGCTTTGGCTCTCTCATGTCTGTCAAGAGTGTAAAACATATCAACAATGACACACCATGTTAAAAAGTCAAACTTCATCATTTAAGGCAAACTTTCCATAGCAAGGATGAATGTCAAAACTAATTTCAGGTCAGTGGCTCCTTACAATTTTCATCCATGTACCTAGACTAGTGAATTACTCTCTCCAACCCAGTTAAACTGTGTACTGAGCTTTTATTAAGTTCATCCAAAATAATGTCCACTTTTCTTTAATAATAGCATGAACTTACCGAAGGACCATTTACATATGTCCTAAACCTATAGACTAAAAAACTCATTTCTGTTTGTTCTCCAAAGTTGCATTTTGAGTGCATATACTCGTGCTCGAAAACCAGAAGCCACTAGAAATTTATTTCCAGACAGAAGAACAACTTAGAAAGGTTCCCAAACTGAATTAAAAATCAAGAGTTTAAACAAATCCCAAAGGAAAAGGAGCAATTTTACATTTTCTTGTACATGCAACCAATAGCCAACCCAGATGGCATGAATTAAAGTTCATTTAATTTGAGTCAAGTGAGTTGTAATTGGAAAATGTTTATTTCCTTCAATGCATTTCCAAAAATTTACCAGGTGGAGCCAGAGTTCGTGCATCAATAAATGACTGCACCATTCCATTCGCAAATATTCCAAGTAACTTTGCACCAAATCCTGCTGCTGAAAGGTATGGGATAGCCTAAAAATATATTGCAGTCAGTACCAGAGTGATAAAGAATTTCCAAGAATAAAAAAATCACGATAGCCAACCCAGAATTTCTCCCATGAAGACAACCACTTTGTAACAGCTTTTTGTTTCTTTTACTATGTCAGTAAAGCAATAAAAAAGAATATCACAATGTGAGCGTATGAATACATAGCATCTCTAAGACAACACAAAATAGTAGAAATTTCTCGAAATGATCAGCAGAAAATTTAGAAAGATAAACTGTTTTGTTTTAAAGAAGAAGCATCATCTGAAGTTACTGACACTACATCAGAAACAAATGCAACTTCAAATTTTAGCAGTGTAAAGCGGCTTTACAGAATTGTAATAAAAATAAAGCAGACAAGTATTGCACTTGATAATTGAATAATCTCATTGAGTTGATCACGTCAACATCAAGCCTGAGGACTCACCTGTAGTTCCCTTTCACGATTGATGACGTACTCAGTATTAGGACCATACAACCTTACTGTAATATTGACAATATTCCCGTTTTTTTCCACAACAGAAACCTTTAGCACTGCAAAAAGTAAATGACTATTACTCAAATAAAATTCAACCGTAATTAAACTTGAGAAAAAAAAAATATTGACATTAATAACCAGAAATCAGGCACTGTAATTTTCATGCATATCAGACACACTAAGTTCCAAGTAAATTCAAGCAGTGTTCGCAGCAACACAGAGTTCCAACTAAAATCAAGCATTGCTCATGGCTTAATTACTCGTAAGCACACAAAACTGAAAACCTACATAGATTTGTTATGCCACCGGAAACTCTCTCAACAGAGAAGTGAGACTCGTCCAAATTAGACCACTTCTTGAACAGGTCCTTGCACAGCTCTCTGAAGTAAAACCAGAGAAAATCATCAGAACATTCAAAAAATTACTAGATTGAAGCATTTATTTGGACATTCCTATCTCAAAACAAATTACTTCCACCGAGGCATATGTTAAAAGCACTGAAGTTTGATAGTCACATTCTTTTTAACTAAGGATGATAAAATCATCAATTCAACTGACCCTCCCCCAACCCCAAATCCGTGTAATGAGTCAGTCTAGAGATGAAACAGCTCAAATCACGCCGAGATAAACTAAGATCACAGAGATAATCTCCAGAATTTAAATCCGCTAACAACCATTGGGCCAACATCGTAAATTAGATAAAACACTCAAATTTTATGCCATAACTAAACAGAAGAGCACATGTATTTAAAGCATATTCAACAGAAAGCTCGTAAGAAGCTGAAAACACAAAACTATCCCAAAAATAATCTGCCTCCAATTAGTTTAAACGACTTAGGAATCTGAAACAACAGGAAATGAAAGAAGATAAACTTACACGATCCGCGGCTTCATATCGGAAGGCGGTAGGGAGTGGTCGATGGTGAGGGAAGACGACGGAATGTCAGAGGTATGGCTCTCTGCAACTTCGATGGCGTTCCAGATATTGACTGCCCCCATCTTGTCTTCCGATATTTGGGATATTCAAATATTTTTAGCAGAGCTGGTTACTTGCCTATTTGGTGTTTGTTGGAGCGACAAGGGAAGGCCTTAGCTTGATATTTGTAATGCCGGGAAATTCGCTGTTTTTGGAAGTTAGATTATATTAAAACGCGGTGATGTTAGCGATGCTGACAAAGCAATTAGTAAATGGCAATTCTGTCCCTTCACTTTTGCTCTTGTATTGACCATTTAGTTTTGCACTAATTTTGACCTTTGACTTTCCTTTTTTTCAAGAGTGATAACCCTGTTTGGAAGCTTGGTTTTTCACCATGTTTGTATAAAACTAGTTTTTTAACAACTTTTGTTGCAGGAACCCCAAAAAATTTATCAAAAATTTTTAACTTACACACTTAAAATATCCAAAACACAACAAAAAAAAATTCCTTTCCCCTTTTCTTCTTCTTCCTCCCCCACCACCACCTCCATTGCCGGCTCCGTCACCAATTTCCGGTGCCGGACAAGAATTTTTTTTCCCCCTTTTTCCCTCCCCCCCTCTTCCTCCCCTGCCATCATCCTCTCTTGTCTTTTTTTTTTTTCTCTCTACGTCCGACGCAGAGGGGGGCACAAAGGGGGGCGGCGGGGGAGGGGGGGCAGAGAGGGCGGCGGGGGAAAGGGGAAGGCGGGGCAGAGGGGGGGCAGCGGGGTAGAGGGGAAGGGGCAGAAGGTGGCGGAGGGGGGGGGAAGGGGCAGGTGGCGGGAGGAGGGGGAAGGCGGGGCAGCAGGGGGGAGGGAGCTGCTGGGGGTGCGGAGGTGACGGAGAAGAAGAAGAAGAAGAAAAAGAGAGGAAAGAAAAGAAAAGGGAAAGAAAGAAAAAGAAAAAGAAAGGGAAAGAGAAAAAAAAAAGAAAAGGAAAAAAAAAAGAAAAAAAAAGTTTTTTACCTTACAAAAACTTCTACAAAATTTTTTCAAAAACTTCTATAGTGTACTATGGTAAAGTTTTAGACAAACTCCCAAAAAACTCAGGTTCCAAACAGGCCATTATTACGAAAGTTCAGTATCTCCCTTGTCCCAATCAGACTTAGCCATTTAAACACGTTAAAGAAGAGCAATCTCTTCGTGGCTCATGGGCAGGTGGCGTGGAATATTAACGTGGGACCCCAATTCAGATTTTTTCTACTCATTTTATTTGACGAGTCGAATTCAAACAGTGCAATATTCGAGATAAAATAATTAAGTTCGAACTCATTGAATTTTTAGAAGCGAAGCTTGAATTCAATTTCAATTTATATTACTTGATCTCAAGTTTGAATTTAATTAAATTTAATTTCGAATCTATTCGAACATAATCGAGTTTAATCAAACTTACGTGATAAAAATTAGCGTTTTACATGTAACTTTAAATAAATAATATTATTGACATTTCATAATAATAAATATAAAAATTAAATATATATAAATAATAAAAAGCTTGATTAGACTCCTCCAATCTTCAGATACAAAATATTGAAATTCGAACTCGACTCACGGGATCAGACAAGCAGCTCAAATTCAATCAAAACGAGATTGAATCAAGCTGTTGTTGACAGAATAGCTCGCGGTTTCGAGTTGAACTACTTGCTCAGCATCACCCTAATCTCGTTTACTAACCTTAGGATGAAAAAAGGGAAAAACTCTTTGGATTAATCGATTCTTTGCATCCAGCGTCTCCTGAGTTCCTGTTCAGACTACTTCGCGTAATTTTTACTAAATTTGAAAAAAACTTGTATAATTTTGTTGTAATTACTATAAATTTTACATAAATTTAATTATATCCGTTAATTAATTTAATTTTTTATAATAAGATTGTATGAGTTTATATCCAAAAGGTGCATGGATTACGACATCCAGATTGTTTATGGCTAATTTTGGGCCAATGAGGGATGGTTTCCGGCCTAGGAAAAGATGTCGGTTTACAAAAGAGGATACAGCAATTAGTAGTACAACATTACAAGTGTCAAAGGAATGCCGTCTTGGGAGTCGAGCAGTGTCACTGTCAGTAGTAGACCAAGTGCCCAACAAATCCCAGCAAGACTGCGGCCAATCGACTTTGGAACCCATGAATCATGAGCCGGGCCTAATTTTACAAATGCAGAGCACCTGTTGAATAATGAAATAGTAAACCCGATCATTTCCGTGAAGGTTAGCTCATCATCTTATCCGCCAAATTTGCCCTTCCGTCCATACGAACTCTTTTCTCCTCCTTTTCTTCTTCTGTACCAACAGCGAAACAAGAAGCTGATGGCGGCTGAGCTGAGCGCCTAGTAAGTAAGATATCATTCCGCCATTGAAGTCTCAAAAGCCAGGGAGAGAGACAACCTAAAGGTATTATTATCGCGTTGTATCAAATGAGGAACTAGGGAAATTTTTTTCCTTGTATGCGTAGGTGCAGTTCATATAATGCGCGTTAGGTGTTTGTGGTTATGTCCAGTCCAGTGCAGTAGCTCACCTCTTGCTTAAGATTTTGTGGTGTTTAAAAGGAGGAGGAGAAAAAAATAACAAAAAACACAGGAGCAAGAAAAATGTATTGGACGATCCAAAAAAGAAAAAAAAGCACGGGAGTGAGAAAAAATGCATTGAACTAGCGAGGTGGACATTTGTTAATTGGGGTTGGGGTGCCTGAGGTGAGGTCGAGATAAGGCTTGCATTACTAGAAATTATTATGCCTGAATATCTCTTTTAACTTTTCCCGTTTTCCTTGCCTCTCTGCATTTCAATGTACAAGTATGTCATATTTTTAAATTCATTTATTAGGGAAGCCAAAGTTTTTGTTTGCATCTTATGTGCATAGCGTTGATGTTGGCAAATAGAAAGGTTATGGTGTTTGCTCCAGTGTCTGGATCTTAGTACATTCATTTTTTTTTCCAAGTGCAGACACGGAAAAGATGATGAGATTACTGCTCTCAAAGACGGCTTCTACAAGGAATAGCCTTCATTTTTCCCAGTTCAATTCTCAAGTAAGTTTGCAATACTAGCAGGAGGAGTTATATGAGTTGTAGTACCTAGACTTAACTTGTTATACTTGACAGAGAGGCATGCATAGTAGAAACAAGAAAGCAATGGAGTTCATTGCCAAAGGATGGAATGCTCTGAAGGAAGTTGATAGAGTGATAGATTATTGTGATCTTAATGACCACCGTCTCATCCCTATGCTTAGGGTAAGTTTGATCAAGTATTCTCACTGCATTCATATTTAAGTACATCAATTGTGTTATTCCCATCCTTACATTTGGTAGCTTGTAGACAAGTGGCAGAGGATTTTGCAGCATTTCCTCTGCATAAATGTCTACTGTGCGATTGATGCATTGAAGATAACGCAAAACTTTTAGCTGATAAATTTCTTTCCTGATCTTGGTTAAACATTTTCTTTTGGATATTTTGATAAAATTCTGATAAGTCACTTTTATCTGTTGATATTGAATTTATCTTGGTGGAATTTTTTGCTATGAACCTTCAAGATCTGGACATTGGAATTGGATTATTTTAACATCTGATTCACTCTAGTCAACCATAGGACTGATGATACAGCCATAGATGTGATGATAGTCTTCCAAATTGTCCTTTTTGGTTTCTCTTGCTCTGACTACAGAGTAAGTAGTTTTTTTTCCTTTTGGCCTTTTCTTCCAAATTGGCCTTTGTGGATAATTCCACAACTCCATCAGAACCCCTTGTCATCAGTTCACCTTCAAGTTGCAACATCACACTGCTCTTGGTTTCTCCGTCTTCAGGGGTGCATACATCACTGGTTCTAGTAGTGCTTGCCAAATTTTCTGGTCTCTTTTTTGGGGCATGGTTCCATCATAATACTACTGGAAACCATGAGTTTTACTCGTATCTCCATCTTCCCAAGAGACTGCACTAGACAAAGTCTCTTTATCAAGTGTTGGGGTACGCGGCATTTGAACCATTGCATCAGCCAGTCCCGTTAATTCTTTTGATTGTGATGGATTGGTGCTCCTTCTGTTCTTCCTCATGTTGGATTGATTCATTTGACTGGCTTTTCGCTTCTTTAATGCTTTGCCTCCATGCTTAACTAAATCCATCACCTCTGCTGCTGGTTGTGGTGGACCTGGTGGTGGACTACTTTTGCTATCTGACTTCTTGAATTTGTGCAGTTTTCTACTCAAATGAGAGTTCCAGTAGTTCTTAATCTCATTGTCTCTTCTGCCTGGCCAATGTCCCGTACAACCCTAGAAAGGACATCATTAATAATCACCCTATCATTATTAATCATAAATTAGGAGTAATAAAATTTATATGCACAATTTCCAAGGCTGAACTTAGGTAGGATTTTATTTTCACTCATTTACTCGTGTAGCGTTGGGGACTAAGATGTTTGCGAACACATTTGTAAGAGATTGTAATTCATTAGCTAAATGAGATTATGTCAGGCTTGTTTAAGTAAATGAAAGATCTTAGAAATAGAAGCAAGTGGAGATATCCCATGATTGACCATTTTTTCCTGCATAACTTTTTATTTCTCTTTGTAGTTCTTTTTCCTCTTGTTTATTTTTATTTTTTTTGGTATTTTTGGTTGTTGGGGGGGGGGGTGGGCGAGGGGGGAGGTATTCCTGAAACTATACTGTCTCTATTTCCAACTAGAAGATATAGTTGTATATTTTTATATTGAGAATTTTCTGTGCCCTAGAGATCTCACATTGTTTTGCAAATTTTTACTCTTTTACGGTGTTATATTAGACAGCAAAGGAGAACTTTGAATTGGCCCTAGAGGCTGACAACTCAAACACCCATGCAAGATATTGGTTGTCAAAACTGCATCTGAAATATCATGCCCCTGGTGCATGTAAAGCTATGTAAGAACCTAAACTTTTCCAATTTGCCTTTAATTTTGATTTTTCTTTTTTCTTCTGTTATGATTGATGCTTTCAGGTTTTAAATATTGGTAACCAACACAAAATCATTGTCTTAAAAAAGTCCAATTGTAATTCTGTTGTTTTGTTTTTTCCAAACAATTGTAATGATTAGTGTGATGTTGACCAGTTATTATAGTCCAAGATGCATTTGCACACCCGTTTTGTGATAGGATGTTGTACTTTCCCTCTTAAACGATCCATTTGGAAATGGAGAGAGTGTGTATAATAAGTATGTTATATGATTAGTTATGTATTTCTTTGCCATATGTTTTTCATTGAACTAGAATTCTTTGCTTTGAAATTTATCGAATAAATTCCACAATTTATCTTCATTTGGACATTTAGAATTGATTTCCAATTCTAAAGACAAAAAATGATCGACTACATGTTTTGTCCATTGAATTTCCACGGAGTTGTGCTATTCATGTGAAACCATATTCATTTCTCTTATATTTCTGCTATTTCATCTTCATGGACATGTCTTACTGTTTTTCTTCAATCACAACAGAGGAGCTGCTTTGTTAGTGGAAGCTGCTGACATGGGTGATAAAGATGCGCAATATGAATTAGGTTGCCGACTCAGAGTTGAGGTTAGCTTTCATGTGCATAGAATTGTGCATGTTAGCATTTTAGTTCAAGAAATGGTGTATTTGATTGACAAGCACTAGTTGAAACCCAAAAATATTTTGGCTGATATGTGTGTAATTGCGTTGCTGACTGAACTGATTTTCACAGAATGACTATGTTCAATCAGATCAACAGGCTTTCTACTATTTAGAGAAGGCAGTCGACCAGGTATGTTGTGCTAGATATTATTCTTATACCATAGCCTAGTTACAGTCTGCCAAATATGCTTATCAAAGCTGTCTACATATCTAGTTGCATCCAGGTGCTCTTTACCTCTTAGGTGCTGTCTATTTGACTGGAGATTGTGTGAAGAAAGATGTTGCATCTGCTATATGGTGTTTCCATAGGGCTTCTGAGAGGGTAATAACTTTCATCTATCTGCTTCTTGTAGTGCAACTTGTAATTACTTAGTCATGATGCTTTGAAAAAAAAAAAAAAAATTGAAGTACCATTCTTCCGCCAATTTCTTGCAAAGTGATCTGGCAAAGCAAAAACATACATGTGTGTGTATTTTGTAAGCACAAAGCAAATATTTTGTTTTGTCTGTTGCATAGTGCAAACAGGCATCATGGTATCCTATATGAGATCTTAGACTGTTAATTAGTGATTAAAGGGTCAATAAGAAACTTTGACTAACTTTTCACCTGTGGGAATTATCCTTATCAGAAATTATGCTGAACTTTCTCCACTGTGCTGTCAACTTTTCTGCAGGGTCATGCTGGAGCCGCCATAGCGTATGGGTCCCTGCTTCTTAGAGGCAAGATGCCCTTGTTCTTTTTCAGCCTTGTGCTTTGATTTACTATATTGGTGGAAAATATTGTGATGTACATAATTTGGTTGAGAAAGAAACTGTTTGGTTATTTGCCTTTAAGAGATTGACACGGTTCCGGAGGTTTTTTTTTTTTTTTTTTATAAAGCAACGATAACATTTCTATAATCTAATCTACATGGTTCAGGAGGTTATTTGTCGCAAACATTTGAGTAACAAATGTAACATGGGATTCAGCTGGGAAGTTTTCTTTCCCTGCTCTGTTGACTCATTCTGATGAAGCGCATTTATTGTTACTAAACTTTAATTTAATTACCTTAAGCATGAAATTGATGTCATTTTTCAGGTGCGGAAGTTCCAGAATCGCTAAAAAGATTTAGTACAAAAAGGAGATCCCTGACCAGAATACAAAGAAATAAGGGGGAAAGGAGCGAGCTTAATCCACTTGAGATGGCGAGAGATCAATTTGAAATAGCTGCAAAAGGAGGATGCGACCTTGGTTTTAGCTGGCTGAAAAGGCTCGAGGAGGAAGAGAAGCGCGTTACGGCTCCGTGACAAAATGAAGAAGTACTTCCGTACAATTAATTAAGCAATTAGCAAACAGCTGCAAAAAGCAGGATGCCGCTTTGGGTTTAGATGGTTGAAAAAAAGACTCGAGGAGGAGAGGAGAGTAGCGTTCACTGGCTTCCTGACAAAATGTTAAGACAAGGGCCTCGGTACAAGTAAGTTAAATGAACAGCCAGCAAAAGAGGGCTTACATAAATTCTAGATCTCCACTGTAATCTTCAGCTTGGGCTTTGCTCTTTCCCAGTACGAGTCGGACAATGAAATCAAAGATGAATTACTGCACAGGTATTTTCTCTAACGGAGCAATTTTTCATCACTCCATATGCGAGGCTAGCCGAAATTAAATGCATGTATACCCAAATAATTTCATATGACCGAGACTTGTTGATTTTATTTGCATGCTTGGTCTTACTCTTAGGCGAGGGATTCAACCAGTTCCATGACCATGATATTCCTCTCCCCTCCCTCCAAACTCCAAAGAATGAAATGGATAATCTTCTTACCAAGGTGGCGGTGTTTAGATTGCAATTTTCTATTTATTGAAAAACTTTTACATTTTTCTTAAATGCATTTGTTAATAATTTTTTTATTTTACGTGCATCAAATTATATATGTATGTATAATATTTTTATAAAAATTTCAAAAAATAACAATTTAAACAGGTGAAAACAAATTCCATTTTCGCTTGTAGTTGATTCCAATTATTAGCAGTAAGTCGTTGTGATATAAAACCACCAGGGTTACTTAGCAATGACTACGTACAATTTTATAATTATAACAAACCTTGTACAGTTGTTTTGTTAACTTTTTCTGCTGTAGGAAATCAAAATGTCAGCTTTTTTTGCGATCTTCTTTTACTGTTATACTAGAAACAAGAAAGAAAGCGCTGAGGTCCCCAAAATTCTCTGCCATTTCACGCGCTTTAGGGACCTACCACTAGCGAGCGTGATTCCTCAGAAGCTTCACAAGATGCGCCTCCGGAGACTCGTTCACCGGAAACTGAGAAACGAGAGCAGGATGCGTGTGCCAACTTATGTCGCCTCGACCGGCAGTGGCAGCGCGGATCACTTTTTTCTTTTTTTTTTCTAAATTCATGCAGGCGATCCAAGATTTTTAGGACATACATTGATTTGATTTGTGATGATGATCACAGTTAATTTTATTTAAAATTTTCTTGTATAATAAAAATGGAGAGCAAAATATCAGGTCTGTTTGGATTGTGAATTATTAGAGATATTTTTACTGTAGCATTTTTTGTGATGTGATATATGTGAGATAAAAAAGGTAATTGGAAAGGTAAAAAGGTGTATTGGAAATTGTAATGATGATGTAAGCAAATAAATTTTGAGAAATAAAGCCCAATCCAAACAAAGCCGATTATTTGTAAATAATAATAATAAATTAAGTGGATCAAAATTCAAGTTTGATCTCTTTTTGACTTAGCACAAGGGACTCAAATAAATTAATGAATTAATGTTCAGCACCTATACGTAAGGCTTAGAACTTAGTTGAGTTTAATTGGGATTTACATATAACAAGTATATACTCGTGACATGTGTTCTACAAACAGCACTACGGCATAGATTATTCTGAAATTGTGTTTGGATTGTATTTTTCATAATTTTTTATGAAAAAATTACTTTAGCGATTTGATGTGTGTGAGGGAAAAAGATAATAGGAGAATGTGATTACGGAAACGACGTAGGTATAATAATTTGACACTACTGTTATTCATCTTACAATGAACCAAAATAAATTACTTTTAGCCCTTTTATATGGTAATGGACCCACATGATGAGGCAGGAGATACCTTTTAGTTGCTTAGTTACAGCCACCCAAAATACAGAGAATTAGGTGCCACATTCCTACCATGCATTGCATGGAACAAGAATTCTTCCTTAGCTTTCAACCTCTTTGCTATGAAGTTTCCTCTTAAACACCAAACCAAAAAGCAATTCTGTCTTCGAAAGGACCCGACCAACAGACGTCACCAAATGCAAGGCCATGAATGAGCAAACCTATATATGAAGGAATCAGATGCCTGCAGACATGCTTTAATTTACAGTAGTAAAAACAGACAAAAGATGGAAAAGTGGAAGTAGGGAGATATTTTACCACCTTTCAAATTACAAACTCATCACGTACAGTCCACGCGCCTCCTCGTGAAAGTAAGGCTAATATGCACACTAATTTAGCACACGTTGCCACTTACCAAATGCCCCAGCTACGAGCCTACGCTTTCCTGGCTGGGGGCCGGAGTCCTGTTTTTGTTGTTTTTTATTTGAGAAGCCCCAACTGCGAACGTACGATCCTGTCATCACTCGGTCGAAATTATAAATGTGGTAAATTCGGTCTATTAGTTGTAATTTCTTTTTAAAGAGGATTAAACACCAGTCATATCAATTGAAACTTTTTATTTGTGGGCTGATAAATCATTAAATTGTAGTATTAGAGAATTTGCTAGGAAAATACCACAATGAATCCTTCCCACAAAAAAATAATAATGAACATCCTCGTAGTTTGCATCTCACAATCTTGCACAGCAAACAAATCAATCAATCTTTTGACAAAAAAAAAAAAAAAGAATGAACCAATCAATCTTTTTTAGCACAAATTGAAAGTCGCTTGATTTAATTGAATTCCACACTGACCGTCGAAATTCTAAAACATCACTTTATAAATAAAATGTTAACTTACATGATTTAATTTTCACCCCATGATCGAGAATGTGTTAATTCCACTTTGTACCCTTTAATTAAATTTGAATTTTCACTCTGATTCTTAAATTTCAAAATAAGACGCTTCAGTTTCTAAATTATAAAATTCGTTATACTTCAATTTTTAAAGTATAAAACTTGGTCATTGAGTCTCTAATGTATAAAATTTCTTCCAATTCAGTCCCTAAAATATACTTTGTACTTAGCCCTAAAATGTATCTCAAAGTGAGATAAATTTTACAATTTGAGGACAAAAGTGTCTCAGATAGTTGAAAAGTGTAAGATGAAATGAATCAGTTGAGAATTGAATGATGAATCCGCTCCAAGTCCAACTAAAATTTTTCCCCTATCCGGCCACGTCTCTGTTCGTCTTCCCAGGCATACGGACTCATCGTCAGTCTCCACTCCCATCCCCAAGGAATCCACTCTCACGCAGTCACACACACACGCACCACACCACACGCCCCTACCGGCTACCGGTACCACACTCCAGTGCTCCTCAATGTCCTCATAACAGTCTCTCTCTCTCTCTCTCTCTCTCTCCAAAACGAAAAGCCACACACATTTACCTGTCCGTTTTCCACCCGAAGCATCAACTCATCATCATTCCTTTCTTTTCCCCAGGTAACAAACCCCAGCAAATAACAAGAGCACCCCTTCGTTCCTCCTTCCCAAAACCAAAAAAAAAAAAAAAAAAAAAAAAAACACACATACTCACACACTCTCCATACACGCAGAGTAGTGGCCTTTCCGTTTTCCACATAGCACCTCCTCCCCCCCCCCCAGTGACAAGAGTATAAAACGATTCTGTTTAATAGTACTCCAGTATGAAACACGCTCCCTCAACTATTGCTACTAGTAGTAAACCTTACTGCTTTTCCTTCTCCGTACAACCATCGACCCTTCTTCCTCCTGCTTTCTCTTTTCTCTCACGTAAGATGATCCTGACCCTTCCCTGTTCCCACCTTCATCTAGGTTTTTCGGCTGACTACCTCTGAGCCCATTTATTTATTTTTCAGCTTTCCATTTCCAGATAATATATTCTTCTTGTCGACTCAAAAAGTACGTCAATGCCGTGGAACGAATCAACTCGCTCACCTCGACCCATCTCACCTGCCTATCTTCCACCCCACCTCCGCCATCAACCCACCTTTACAGTCACCATTCCCACCTCACTCGCCCGCTCTTCCTCCAGCCGAGGAGGAGGAGGAGGAGGGCGTGGGCGTGGGCGTGGGCGTGGCTTTCGCGGTGGTAGAGCTCCGAACCCACCCCGATCATACGGCCGATCCAGACGAAACTTCTCCGACTATGACCCGAATCCATATAACCAGAAGATCATGCCCGAACCACCCTTTGATATTTCTGAGAAATTTGATGAGCTGGAGGTCATAGACGATGACCCTTCGGGCGTAAATAATATCAATGCGTACGATGAAACTCCGGTGGAAACGAGTGGGTTCGACGTCCCTCCTCCGGTGACGTCGTTTTCCGAGATTGATTTCTGCTCGGGGCTCAGTGATAACATCAAGAGATGTCAGTTTGTGAAGCCGACGCCGATACAGCGTTACGCCATCCCGGTGGCGATGGCCGGAAGGGACCTCATGGCTTGTGCTCAAACCGGGTCGGGCAAGACTGCGGCGTTTTGCTTTCCTATTATCACTAGGATCCTGAGGGACCATCATCAACTGAAAAGCCCCACGAAAAAAATTGACAGGAATGGTGGAGGAGGAGGCTTCAGTTTGAAGACGATCATGGCATGTCCTCTGGCCCTCATACTAGCTCCTACTCGGGAGTTGTCTTGTCAGGTGCGCCTTTTTTTTTAATTTTACTTCTGATGTTATCTGGGTTAATTAAAATTTTTTGTGCCCAGCAGGTACTTTTTTCTTCTTTTTTTTTTAATTTCAAATTTACGTGTTTTTTTTGGTGGGGGTGGGGTTGTAAGTACATTCTAGGGTTTTGCTGTGTTTTTTTTTTATCAATTCATCTTCTTGTTTACTACTGTAACTGATATCAAATGGATTTTACGCGTAGATACATGATGAAGCCAAGAAGTTTTCCTACAAAACTGGAGTGAAGGTTGTCGTGGCATATGGAGGCGCACCCATTGTTCAGCAGGTCTGCTTTTATTTTAGCTTAACAATGATTAAAAAAACAGTAGCTTATATCGTTCGCTTTGATTACTGTTTGATCCAAAAGAAAATAAAAAAAAAGGGTTCGTCACTGACATCGAAGATGATAATACTCCTATTCCGAAAAAGGCTTATGTGAGTAGCTACGAGTAGTGCATTAAAGTGATAATAGATTGTGATAATTTATACAACTAATCGTTTACCCTTTTCTGTAAAGTACTGTTTTGTTGTTAGCATAAGACTCCAATTTACTCGGATATGTGGCTCTGTGCTTGATGATGACACCCAAAAAAAAAAAAAAAAAGATTCCGAAACATATTCTGAAGGTTTAGCCAAGTACTTGAATATTGTAGCTTCGAAAATGAAGGGATCCTGCCTGTCTTCGTCCGGATGCCTGTACTAGTTTCACCTGGTGCCCTGGTATGGCGTTCAGGTTTAGCCCTTCCATTCAATGATAGTAATAGTGTTCTGCAGATTAAAAGACTGTACCTGTTAATTTTGTTCCTGAATAGGCTAGCTGTGTATTTTTCCTTTGCTTTTGAGTAATCTCGACTAGGTCTACTTGTATACTTGCTTGAAGTATATACGACTTTTTTTGTTATAATTTGACTTACTGCTTTATTGATGATTTTACTCCTGTAACATACAACTACAGTTTCGCAATCTGGAAAAAGGTGTTGACATATTGGTTGCAACTCCCGGACGTCTGGTTGATATGATAGAAAGAGCAAAAGTATCTTTAAAGAATGTCAAGTATTTGGCTCTGGATGAGGCTGATAGAATGTTGGATATGGGCTTTGAGCCTCAAGTTAGGAAGATCGTTCAGCAAATGGAAATGCCTCCTGCAGGGGTAAGGCAGACAATGCTTTTCAGTGCAACATTCCCTATTGAAATTCAAGTAAGTTTAATCACTCCATTGTTATATTTTTCCCTCGAGTTTGTGCACTCCCCTAATACATTGGCTTGGATCTGCTCTTATTCTTCAAAATTCTTGTTGCAGAGGCTTGCATCAGATTTTCTTTCAAACTACATTTTTCTAGCTGCAGGGAAGGTTGGATCTAGTACCGATCTCATAGCTCAAAGAGTAGAATATGTTCATGATGCGGACAAGAAAAACCATTTGTTGAACCTTTTAAGATCCCAACGAGCAAATGGAAAGGTACAGCTGATTATATTTGCAGTTCAATAATTGCATTTGCATGCAGAAATGTCTGGCCAAGCTGGCAGTCATTTTTTCCTTAATTATATTGGATTTGTCCCCCTTTTCAGTTTCTATTTGCCATATTCTTTGATAGATACTAAGATTTTTCCAGCTGAACATTTACGCTGCATACATTCTTGCAGCATGCTTTGACGTTGGT